CTCTCTCTCTCTCTCTCTCTCTTTCTTTATTGCGCTCTCCCCCCTCCCTCACTACTTCTGTCGTACATCTGTTCCTATCTCTTTGTTTTCATTTTCTAAAACAAGCTCAAATATACTTTTGGATACTCGCATTCTTTTAGTAGACAATTTCCTTTGTCTAGTCTTCATTTTAGATTCTCAATTAATCAGCTGCTCTACACAACACATTTTACAAACAATCCTTATTCTGGATCCGCCCAAACTGCCAAACACTCTCCACACCCTATCCACCATTTTCTCGCTTTCTCCTCCTTTTTATTCGAGTAGAAGATACCAATGTTTCGTTTGAGGTTGGCATTACCATTAACCGCCGTGTTATCGAGTTCAACTTGTCTGATAAGGTTGTACCTTACTATTTACTAGCAACTCCTATTTGTTTACAGAATAAAACGAACAGCTTTCAGTCGTTAATTTCCTGATAGAGCTGAAACTAGACCAAACTAAGCTTTAAAAAAAAACAGCAGCCAACAACACCAAGTGTTTCCCTACACTCGAACCACGTTTTCGTTTACAACAACAGACCCTCTCCTGCCCGAAGTTTCTCATGGACCTGTCTGTAATTTTGATAAGGCTGGTACACAATTCACTTCTGCTTCCGGAAGATCTTAGCCTAATCCTCTCGAGTCGTCAACTTTCCAACTTTTTTATCTCTGGTTTAATCGCAACTTTGCTCCTCCCTCTCATCATTGTCGTTACGAGGCTGGCGTTAGTATCGCCCCGCCTCGCGTAGAGGACAGTCTTTCTCCGAAGAGGCAGACAAGTGCGAACGCGCCTGGGAGTTCAAACAACGGTGAGGGGCCAGGAGAGGGCTTTGATATTGATAAGAGAATGGTGTTCTGCTCATCGAGTCGCTCCTCAGGTCCGAGAACATGGTCACTTTATCTGACGAGAAGGCAGATAGGACTTGAGCTATGTCGTAGTGTTGGGTGTGAAGAGGGAAGAGGGATGAGGGAAGAGAGGCGATTTGTTGTTGGTTGTTGGTTTTCCTGAGTGGCTGCTGGGCTGCTGTCACATGGGATGGCGGGG